GTGAAAGATGCTTTGATTGGAACCAAATTAACCAAGATATTTATATTTCAGATGGAAATATCATGAAAACCAATTCTGAGATTGTGGTATACTTGGCAAACCATCATTGGCATTGAGCCTGATATTTGCTGCACCACTTCAAGCATTGAGGATATATGAACCTATCTTTTTTCACAAAAAGATGTCCTAGCTTTGTGGCACACAGAATCATATATCTGTTAGATATTTCTCAAAAACAATACTTGTAGTTATCATAAAAATTAGGTTACAAGATGGTGTAATAAGTTACGTTGGCCTGATGCATGCATGCACTTTAATTTTTTTTATTTTTTTATTTCTTGATCTTATTAGTGCCCCACTTTAATTATCTTTAGAATGATTGTGGATTTATTGCAGTGGCTTGGTAGAAAATGATGGTATTAGAATAATGGTAGTACTCATCTTTTATGAAAAAAAAGAAAGAATGATAAATCCAACTATGGTATATTTGTGCTTCATGATGGTAGCAACCAGTAAGAATTTAAAAGTAAATAAATCAAACAACTTGTGTTGATTATTTTCTCGGGTGAGTTGGACCACTTGGTGAGTTTTTTACATATATAATAATTTAGTCTTTGTGTGTATAATAGTTTTATTAATCTTTTTACTTAATAAATTAAAATATTGGATTTATTTTATTATTGTATTATACATGTTTGTTTTATTTGGTATTTTTTATAGAAACTTTATAATTTTTCATCCTCTCCAACAATAATCAATTTTCGAGTCTATCTTACAGGAAAAAAGCCTATACATCATTCACACATATATGAACATTTTATATAAAAAAAAACTTTTTTTAAAGTAATACTATACATCATTCACACATATATGAACATTTTATATAAAAAAACTTTTTTAAAGTATATATATATATATATATATATATATATATATATATATATATATATATATATATATATATAACATGGTGTCATCGAGATATTATATTTTAAAACTCTACATTTTATTTTTAAAAGATGTACATGAAATAATATATATAAATTATTTTTTATCTTAAATTTAATAATGTGAAACTCATAAAATAATATATATAATATGAAAAAAATAGTAAGAAGATATATAACAATTTTAAAAATGGTTAATATAATTTAAAGAATTATTTTTTTATACTTAACCGCTTTTTTGCTGTTGATTCTTGACAGTTAATGACATGCTTTCTGTTTTAAATCAAATTGAGAATTTTAATTGGAATGCATGACAATATTTTGTTTTTGAAAAAAAAATGAGAATGGGTCACTTATTTATATTGTGTTCACTTTTGACTTTAAAAACATTTTATGTCTTATATTCTGTTCGGTAGGATAAAAATAAATATTTGAGGAACAGGAAAAGTGAATGAAAATAAGAAAGAATTTAAGTGAAAATAAAATTGTTTATTTTAACAGAAGTGTGGAAAAAAATAAAGAGATAAATTAATATAAATATAAATAAGTAAAAATAGAAAGAAAATAACAAATAGTAAATCCGAAGCACTTTAATTTGTCTCCTCCTCGTTTATTTCTCTGCCAATCACACTGTTAAAGTGTCTCTCTCTTAGACTAAAATTATCATTTCATTAAATTATTAGAGTGACTTATTCAACTTTGTAACACATGACTAAATTTTGTCGTGTTAACTAAAATTTATGTTGTTACTGCTATTGATAGAAAGATAATTTGGTATAATATAAAAAATATATATCTTAAAAAACAAAAATACATAAAAGGGACAATTTTTTTTTTACCACATGATGGTTTTATTGAAATTAGTAATAATTATTTAAAAAACAAAAAGATGAAGATATTTTTATTAACTTAGAAGAATTCAAGATTCTTTTTGCAGGGGAATGCAAAATTGGGTTTTGCAAGCATGACCTACTTTGAACTCCTTCCTAGTCATCCATGAAAAAAAAAATTAAATATTATATTTGTTGACGTTGGACTCGAAGGACTCATAGGAAAATATGATAATTCTAATTCTTTCTCACTCTTCAAAGTCATAAAAACCAACACACATTTTTTTCTGACATTCCTTTTTAATCAGAGTCTAATCTCATATTTGTTACAAGAGAAGGGTTTAGGATTCGTTACCAAATTTAAAGTATTGTTTATTTTAAACTCTCCTTTAAACATATTAATATGTTAAAAGAAAGAATACCGAGAGGAAGAGTAAACCATAATTCTAATTTCTCATCTTAATATTTTTAAATGAGTGTCATAATTTTAATAAAATAATATTATTAAAATTTATTATCACGAATGATATAGTATTTATTTTAAATTTTTAATTGATTATAATTTTATTAAAAAAGAGAATATAAACTACCTTAAAAATAATCTAGTACTGATGAAATATGAGTTTAGCAGAAAAATGTTTATAATATAATAATTAATATAACTGATATGTTTGGTTGACGACGAAGACACCGAAGATGGTGACACTTTGTTATCAATGGTTAGACGGCACCGCTGAATCGCACTCGTACATCTTTTTTTCTTTCTCTTTGTAGGAATAATATAACTTGTGATGAGAAATTCAACAATAGATCACTAAGTTTCTTCTAAATGTTAATCCATTTGCATTCACATTTAATATAATATGTAATTATCTTATTTTTATTATTCTTTTTTAATCTAATAATTAAAATAAGTTTCTATTTTTAATAAAATAAGTAATAAAAACAAGAAGAATTGTTTAATTTTTATTTTCAAAATAATAAATTATATATATATATATATACAGAAAAATAAAAAATAAAATGATAATTGTGTAACTTATGTTCAATGTCCCACTATTCTTATAGAAAGATATGAAAAAAGAAACTTGATAGAAAATATTTCCAGAATCAATAAAAAAATACTAAATTATTGCATATTTAATATAGATTTTTTTTTATTTGTGATATTATATATCACATAAATATATGTTAACTTAATAATAGACGTAGAATTTTGTAAGAGGTGAAAGATGATCTCAAATTTTGGTAACTTTCTATATATATATATATATATATATATATATATATATATATATATATATATATATATTAGTCTTTTATTTACTTGTTTTTAAATATTAAACTAAATTATTACTTTATTTCTTCTAATTTTTTATATATTTTTTATTTTTTCATATTTATTTATTAGTTTCTAATAATATATTATATGTCTTTAAAATTATTAGTTAAAACAGTATATTATATTTAAAAAATAACAATAAGAATAAAAAAATATTAAATTATTCATAATATATTATATTCTGAAAACTATATATTAATATAATATCGATTCTAATTTATATGAATAGATACATAAACTTTCAATTCTGTGTTTGAGAAAATATTTTTTTTTTAATTTAAAATTTATTAAATTGTACAATAACTTATGAAAATTATATCCATATTTTTTCAATTAATTCATGAGTCCATTGAGGTTAAGATTAATTATAATTCATTTATATTAGATTAATTATAATTTATTTATATTAGATTAATTATAATTTATCTATAATTTATTCTTAAGATGTTTTTTTTTAGATAAAATTTTTACAAACAAAAATTTCAAAACAAGTAGAAATTAATCCTAATGGACATTGCAACACTCATAAATCAAATTATTATTATTTTTTACAATTCAGGTTTGGTATAATTTAGAAATTCAGTCCAAACAGTTTTTTCTCACGAATGATAACAATATATTTAATTATCCAATTAGTTTTCACGCAATTCTTTCACTTATTAAATTATTAAACGTAATTTCTTATATGGATCCCGCAATCTTTTCTGAACCGTCTTCGCACTATTGAACGTTTACGTATATAATATATATATATATATATATATATATATATATATATATATGAACATTATTTATAATATATAAATATATGTGTACATGTGAGAGAAAAATTAAAATTATATAATCACATCTACATGTATAATTTTAAATTCCAATTATTTATGAGTGCAATATTTAAGTCTTGTAGTTCTACTCCCTCCCAATTCATTATCTGTTAGGAAATACAAATCTCCCACAAATTAAATTTAAAAATGCATTTTAATACGTCATAGAAACAGAAATTATTCTGCTTTACTTTAAATATGCTTTCTTTTTTTGAGACTGTGCACGATGTATGTTACCATGTTATAGATAGAAACTCGTAAGAGGTTTTGTTGTTCACTAACTTTTGTTGAAGAATCTATTTAATTATCTTTGGTTGAATTTCCTCTTTTAAATTTTTTTTTTTTTTCATTTGGAAACCACGTTTTGGGACACATTTCCTTTCAAAACTATTCAGATTGAATAAAGCTAGTATTTAAATCCCCAAAAAAAAAACAGTCCTCTTTCAAAAAATAGTTTTAAAATGCACTAAATAAATCCAAAAAATACATTTAATGTATTTGAAGACTAACTTTTATAAGCATTTAATCTATCACATTAAATACATTTTGACATGATAATCAAATATGTATTTTGACTGTTAATGTTTGGAATGCATTTGAGAAAAGAAATGTCTGGGAATAAAAATGTTTTTTTTTTTTTAATAGTGTCATAATTTGTAGAATTCTTTAGGAAATAATTTTAGAGAGATTTACAAATTTTCTTCTAAATTGGTTGTGAAAAAAAAATCCCAAAACACTAAATTTTATATTTTTTAACTATCTTATTTTCGTAAATGCATTTTCCTTTCTGAACTATCTCCCAAAATGGTATTTTTATAGTTATTGAAAATAATAAAAAAATAAACTAATGTAAAGAAGGAAATGAGAGTAGAAGTAGAATTGCTCCATATTCGAATTTTTGACCGTTGGGCCCGTTACAGACGTAATAACGGTTGGGACAAGGGAAAACTTCCAGAGCCGTTGCCTTCACCTTTTCCCTTCTCCTATACCTTAAAACTAACAAACAAACACATAGAGAAAGAGAGAGAAAAACAACCCCACTCACTCATCACCATCTATGGGCTGTGTCTCTTCAAAACTCGTCAAGAAAGAACTCAAGCAAGAACAAGTCATTGTCACCAATGGCGGCGGTTACGTGAACCATGTCGTTTCCCTCACTTCCTCCACCTATGGAGCACTCATGTTGGACAAGGAGAAGGAGCAACACCAACCCACAGTTGAAGATTCCAAAACCGTGAAAAAATCTCCTCCTCGGAACCGCGAAGAACCCGAAGTGATCAACGCTTGGGAACTCATGGAGGGTCTAGAAGAGGGAGTGCCCATGTCAAATAACCCCAAGAAAAGCCCCAAGTCCACACCTTTCCTTCGTGGGTTCCTCGCTACGGACACCAAAACCCCCTTGAAGTTTCTCAACCAATTTGGGTCACCCAAAAGTCTTAGGAAGTTCACAGGGAAGGAGAACAAGACTCAAGGTCAAGGCAATGCTGGTGTAAGACGTTTGGATTACAATGTTAGCCCTAAGGGGATCCTCAAACCCTCTAATTTTTCTTCTCCCTTAAAAGGGTCTCCTATTCGTGCTCGAAGGAACAGTTTCGGGAGTGACACAAAGAGAAGGAGTCCTAGCCCTCTGTTTGATCCAGAGCTTCTCGCCTCTTACGAAAAGGAACTCTCCGAAGAGGAAGAACAGATCAAGAGAATGGTGTGGGCCACCCCCAAAACCCGGAGAGTCAGAAAATCTTTGGACTCGCAAACTTTTGTTAACACCTTTGAGGAAAAGTGTCCACCCAAAGGGGAAAATTGCGTTGTCATTTACACCACCACGTTGCGGGGGATCAGAAAGACGTTTGAGGATTGCAACAAGGTTAGGTCCATTGTCGAGTCCTATTGCGTGCACGTGATTGAGCGTGACGTGTCAATGGATTCGGGGTTTAAGGAGGAGTTGCGGAAGCTGATGGGGACGAAGCAAGTTAAGGTTCCAATTGTTTTTGTGAAAGGAAGATTGGTTGGTGGAGCTGAAGAAGTTGTGAAGTTGGAAGAAGAGGGGAAATTGGGTGTTCTCTTTCAGGGGATTCCTCCCAAGACGTTGGGTGAGTGCGAAGGGTGTGGTGGAATGAGGTTTGTGATGTGTGAGAAGTGTAATGGAAGTTGTAAGGTTTTGGATGAGGACTGCAAGAAGAATGTGAGGTGTGGTCAGTGCAATGAGAATGGACTGGTTCAATGCCCTTTGTGTCGTTGAGGTTGTGTGTTGGTTTTGGTTTTTGGAATGATTTCTTTCTGATCTCGATTTGTAGGAAGAGAGACAGAACAGACATGGTGTTTCTAGTCTGTTGTCAATTTCAGTTGTCATGTTCCTAGAGTAGGGGTTCTAAAGAGTGTTTTAGTTCCCTTTTTTTTGTTGTTTGATTCTTTGGTTGTTATGTATTTTGGGACACTGGTTGTTCCTTCTCTAATCTAATTCTAATTTACACAAAATTTTCTTATTCTTTGTGCATGAAAGAATTGAACATTACGATTTGCAGCATGGCATGGTAGTGGTTCAATATCGACATATGAATCTCATTTAACAATATTTGGCATGAAATATGCATATTTTCACCAGGTTGATTTTCTTAAGGGACCTAATGAAACACAAATTATCCATCATCACTGACTTTTTTCTCGAGTAAAATGATGATAAAAAACACAAACCAAATTATGCTTCTCATGAATTTGAGTAAGTTGGCCAATTTTTCATCATGAAGGATTCAGATCTCTCTATCCATCGGATATATAATTGAAGTTGACCAAATTAACAATGTGATGAACCTTTTGGGCCTTGGGGAGGTATGGTTTTTTAAGCTCCATTACATTTAGTATTATAATTTATGAAGTGAAAACCACAGCTTATAATCGATGAGTTAGTATTTGAATTTAGAGGACCAATAAAAGCAATATCGAAGTTTGGCTAACATAGTTTGCCATCGGTGTTTATCTATACCAATTATGTTTTAATGGATATATGAAGTTTCACCAATAATTACACAAATAGATATCAGTCACCTCCTTTTGTACATAAATTTAGTATTTTCAATTTAATTCCTTTAAAGTGAAAAATATATAAAATAAAACGCAGAAACCTGTCTATCGTTAATTTATTATTGTTTTAGTTCAAATCAAAGGTGTTCTTAGTTTACACATTTCAATGATTTATTATTCTGTAGAAAACATTAAAAGCAACGGTAAAGTCATTTAAATCTCAAAAACACCATCTTCAGGTTATTATTGTTTACGAGAATTTCAGATCTCATTTATTAGCAGATGATGTTTGTCTGTTTCCATGATTGTCCGTTGGGTGGAATCATTTGCTCAGATATTATAAAGAAGGATAGAACATGTTGAAGACAGAAGCGGATGAAATAAGAGCAAATTTGAATTACTAATAATATATATATATATATATATATATATATATATATATATATATATATATATATATATATATATTTTAACCATAGGTATGATCCATTGACACCAGATGTATATGTGTGAAACAATATTTGGATTCTTATATTTATATTATTAAGTATAGTATTTTAACATTAAATAATTACTAATGAATATAATAACAGTATATAAATCAGATATCTTTTATCATGTCTGATTGAAGAAAAGTGAGTTGGGCTGGACAAAGGCGAACCTTTCAGGCCATGAGGAGGCCCAATTTCTTCTGATGGAATCTAAACCACACACACCAAAGCATCTCCAGCCATTGGAATTGATTAATGATGTGGTCAACTTGATTCCTTTAACTTAAAATTTATTTCTTAGATAAGAAATTTTTTCTTAAAAGTAAAAGGTTTTTTGAAAAATTAATCACCACTCAATAGATAGTTATTTTCTACAACTTTTCTTATAAAAAATTATTAAAATTTATAAAAAATTATTTCTTGCTTGTAAGAAAATTCTCATAAAATATGAAATTTTTTAATAGTTAATAAATATAAAAATTAACAAAATTATATTTTTGATTGAGTTATTAAGAGTTTCTATAACTTCTTTCGCTGAAACAAAATTAAATATATATTATTTAGTAAAATAATTACATTTTTGATAAAGTTATAATTTTTAATTTCACGAATTTTCTATATTTAGAATCAATCCCATAAATAATACTATTAAATAGAAAAAGTATTTAAATTAAATCTCTCTAAATTTATTTACCAACTAGATCCATTTATTATTCATATACAAAATTTAATTATTGAAAAAAAATTTGTCTGATATAATATAATTGTAAATGAATCCTATGAATAATATATTTTACAAAATAAAATTACTCAAACGGAATCTCTATTAATTTATTTATCCAATTGTACATATTTCTGTGCATATACAGTTTTTTTTTCTCTCTTCATAATTTATTTTAATTTATTTTGTATTTCCTGGTTCACTCCTTATTTTATGTTTTCTAGCGTAGGTTTTTTTTTTTCTTTCTTTCCTCTCCCACTTATTCTCCTAGTTATACTATTATATTAAAATTTAATAAAAATATATTAAAATAAATATTTTAAAATCAATATTGAAACTAAAATAAATATTTCTAGCGTAGGTCATTTATTTTTATTACTTTTTTTAATCTTCATTTAGTGTTTATTTTTTTAAAATCATTATAGGATAAAGTTGAGAGGTTAGAAATGTTATTATGTTATAATTATTAAGAAAAATTAAATATTTATTATTGTTTAAACTTTTGACAGTTGACTCTAACTCTGGTAAACTCCAAAAGGAAATGTGGAGGTTAATCGGAACATATTTAAACTTCAGATTTATTAATTGTGATAATAAAGTATTACAGCACCGACTACCAGCTTGATTGGCGTAGACATAATTAGGTATTAATTTTGGGATATAAAAGTCATACTCTGATTTGAACTGCGTCTACACGACGTCAGAGCATAATCTAGTCTCCAATGCCTTTCGCTTTCAGTCTTTGTTAATATAATATTTCTTTTCATTTTCTGAATTTGATTCTTAATTTTGATTTATTAGTCTCAACAATGGCGGCGTGTAAAATTAGTCTATTGAACGATTGCGTGTGTGAATGGAACGTGTTTCAACATTAGTTGTTCTTAAAGCTTCTAGTCTCTCGGGTCAAAACCTTCAGAGTCTAACCTAAGAAAAAAAAGAGGAACCTAAAGTCTGTTTTAAGATAGATGTAATGGCAGAAAATTAAACCAGGTACAGCTATCAATCAGGATTCAAGGGGAAGTTAGTAAGGAAAGGCGTTGAATCATGAGTCATGGGGTTTGACATTTTAACCATTTAAGAGATGCTTGTCCCTTATGATGGGTGATGCATAATCTCAATCATTCTCCTTCGAGGTGATGGCAACCATGTGAATGAAAATTTCTAAATTGCAAGCCACCCCCCATCCCTATCCTGAAGTCCAGTTCCACCTTGTAACACAGTCATTCTACCATAAACATCAACCTACGACTTCATGATAAGATAAGATCTGAACTTCAACTCTCATCTTTCCGGTCGCATGAAATAAAAAATTCACTACACGTATTTTTATTCAAACCCAAATCGTGGAATTAGTAGGACTTTAAAATATATGTTCTTTTTTTAAATTTCTGGCATGTTCCGGTCCAAACTTCCTCCCTTAATCTATTCAAGTTTAAAATGATTTTTCAAATTAGCTTTCTACAAGTTAACGCGCATCTCAATTTCTTGAAAAGGCATGGATACGGTAAACAAATTTTATAATAGATATGACAAATTTAAAATGATTTCTTCCATTTCTATTATTAAGGATATTAAACACAGATTATTATTTCATCTGTTGGTATTTTTAGTTTTAATATATATCCTTAATCTCTCATTCATTATTTGAGTAATTCACTCACTAATACTATCCTTAAAAATGAGAGAAGAAACAAGATATGTAATCTAACCTCAGAGGGAACACTGCGGTTGAAAAATGAATATCCTCCATGCACGGTCATTTAATTCAATAATTCATCACAACTCTGCGTAATGGAGTGGCGCAGCTCTAGCATCTAGTCTTCCTCAACTACATGGAATTCAGAAAGTAAAGCAACGCATGCTTAATAATTTTTTTGGACAGTTTCATACAATAATTGAAACCAAGACAAGAGAGAAAATAAGCAGCATCTGCTAAATTCAAAGAAACAAGAACACTCATCATGACTCATGTATATTTACAAAACTTCATGGCTACAAAATAGAGTGAGAAAAAACCAACCCAGTAAATTCATTCAATTCAACCAAGTAGTACAAAACCAAACAGTAGTAGTAACAACTGAAAAATTTTCAATGCGCCACGTCATCCCTGGAAGCACTCTTCAGACGCTGGGGCCCCACACAAAAAGACTCGCGAGTCGCTAGATTTTTATAACATTTTTTTCATCAATTGCTTTCATCCGAGGGCAAAGGGTCCCACTTTGTGGCTGCCCTCGTCGAACAGTTTACCCGAGCCAATCCTATCGAGGCACGTGGCCTTCGGAATCACCTACTCCCCACGACTCGGACCTTCTCCCAGACGCGAACCGCATCATGCCACCCAAACCGGGCGGTTCATTCTCCGACACGCTGTGCCGCGACACTGTTATTGACTCCTCGAACGACGCGTCGTTCACGCTCGACGTGCTGTCCCGCGCTTTGATACTAACCGCAACGCTCTTCGTCTCAACGTTAGAATCGGGTTTCCGGTCCGGTTTTTCCTTTCTATTGGACCGGAAAATCGCGCGGATGCTCTGGAGAAAACCGGGTTTCTTTCTGTTTCTGTTCGGTTTCTCTTTTGTATGCGTATCCTGGGAATCCTTTCGGGAACACATCAGCTTGCGATTTCGGTCGCGCTTGGATCTGACTCTTCCCATGCAAGAGACTTTCGGCGAAGACGGTTCGACGAACCCGGTCTCCGATTTTCCGACGGAAACGCTGCGTTTCGGGAACAACCTGATGTTACTAGGTTTGTGGTTGCGGCGATTCTTGGCGTCGACGAAGGAGGTCTTCTGAGGCTTAGGTAAGCCAATGATGGTGGAGGCCTTGGACTTGTAATTGACAGAGAAGCGTTGAGAGTTGTTGGTGGAGCTTGTGCCAGGGTTGAGGTTGGTGGAACTTGAATTGGCCTTGGTAGATTCCTTGCGCTCATAGACGGCGTTGCGGTCCCACCAATCGTATTCCTCGTCCCTGGAGAGCCAGAAGGACTCCGGCGGTGAATCCGGATGGGGCTGCGGCGGATCCGTGGTGTGGTCGGCGGCGAGAGTCTCGCACGCGATTTTCCGATCGTTGGATCCCCCGGCACACGCTGAAACCAGTGTTTCCACCTGTAGCATTTGTGAAGCCCGAAATGGAAAGGTTATTATTAATTAAGGGAGAGAAAATCAGAGACAGAGGTAGTGCGAAGGAGGTAAGAAATTTGTGTTTGAGTTGTGACTTTGTGGTGTGAAGGAGAGAGAAAGAGAGAAAAAGGGTATATATAATTTGGAGGGAGGGGTTTCAACGTTCTTAGTCACGCTATTACCACAGCGGTGGTTTTGTTTCGTTGTCAATTCTTCATCTTCAATAATAAACTAATTTTCAATAATTCACATCATATTTTATTCTATTATATGGACCAAGGAGAGAACTTGCACCTCATGGATAAACTTATATAAGATTAAATGTATTATTACACTGAATATATATCATTAATTATTTATATTTATATTCGAAAAAGCACATGAAAAAAGAAAAAAATGAACAAGTGATTACCTTTTGGAGTTTCCATGGAGAAAAGCATCTTTTATTGTGGTGGTCAAAAGTATACGAAAGCAATGGCGAAACGCAAAGAAACGCATGGTGAGAGTCTATTCGCCCTTGGTTTTGAATTTCGTTATTTTAAAACAGTGGGTGATATTATAACTTCACCGATAAACTTTTGTTTGTTTTTAGTTTCATAAAGTTCTATACCTTCACTTCTCTTCTCTTCTCTTCTCTTCTTGTTTCTTTCCCTTTTTACTTTCCCCACCCTTAAATTGTTCCCACTTCATTGCTTTGCTGGTTGGTTCGGCGTCGTCCTCCAACATAATGTTTCTGGTTTTAATAATGTCAACTAAGAAGGGTTTACCCGTGGCTCATCCCAAAATGTACGTAATAATTAGGTTAGTTATGTGATGATGATGATGATGGAAGCTTACAACTGTTGCTTCTTCCACTTCTTTTATTCCAACATACCCATTCATAATCAAACTTATGCATTCTCATTTAAATTTTTATTACTTCATTTCATTCAGGTATCCTCACAAGATGAACATGCTCACATGGATATGTACGCACCTCAGACAACACGTTACGTTAGGGTTTCTATTTTATGTCATGCAAGTTCTTGTTTCTCTCTCCCCCTGGAGAATTATTTTTATGGATACATGGTACCAATTTATTCTACACCAACAAAAAAAATCTATATTATTGGATAAATATTATATCGAAAATTTAACGCAAATCACAGGTGTGGTTATTGTATACAGATACATTCTGTTCGTGACGAATTAGTTTTTCTACTAATTTTGTTATTTTACCGAGGAAGGGAATCCAGAGATAGGTGTTAATAGGTTCATTTATATCTTTATGTTTATTTCATTCAAAATTTTGATATGATACCTTATTTTAATTCAAATTTAACCTAATCAGATTAAGACTTAAAACAACACCGAGTCAACTAAAATGGGTTGATTTTAATATTTTTATTATGAAATTAATTTTTATATTTGAAATATTATTTATTTTAAAGTTCTGTCATCATTTTATTTTTTAAAAAGTGTTAATAGGTTGAAAGAGAAGAATATATATAAATTATCTTGTTCCTTAATTTCTAAATGATATGATGTTTATGAATATATAAGAACATTTATAATTAAATTATAGGATAAAAGATAAATTCAAATTAAATTTACTATATAATAAATAATTTCATTAGAAACATGGGCATTTTTGCATACACCATTTATGCGTAAAAAAGTTATTATTAATTGATGTGATGAAAAAACATGTACAATTTTTGTTTGAATAAAAATTAAAGGAGAAAATAAAAAAATAATAAAGTTTTTCCGTAAACTATAATCACTATATTTATATTTATTTACGTATCGATTTAAATATAGGAGAATATGTAGTATTTTGTCAAATAGGACCATTCATATTACACATACATCAGAAATACATTTTTATTTTTTTCTTTTGAGAAATTAATTATATCTCGTTCTACTCCAAAGTCTCCAACGATGAACCAAACGAGCGTCGATTTGTGGATTAGGTGAAGACCAAGACTTTTATTATTACTATAATTCCACCAAATTTGTATTATAATAATTCAAATAAGATATGACACATATGAGTGCAAGCAACCCAATAATATGTACGGTACATATAAATAAATAGATAAATATATGAAAGAGTGTCATCCTGATTGACAAATATATAATAGGGTAAAGATGTCTTCAAATATACTTTTATATTGAACTCAATCTTAGATCGGAGAAGAAAATAAATTAGATTTATATCAGAAATCGCATAAGATCGAGTGTTTTAAAATTAATTTAGTTAAAATATAATGTTAATTTAAATAATTTTCACACTATTATGTTATTATGTTGTTTTTTGTATTAATTACTCTCAAAATTATATTCAAAGTACTTTTAATTGTTTGGTTCTGTAGTGTAAATACATTTATATTTCTTGCAATATTTAAAAAGTTTATATTAAAATATATTAATTAAATGCTATGAATTTTATAATTTATAGTATTTAACTATTATGACTTTTAACATAATGTAATTACAAAATATGGAGTCATAAGAAAATAAATATGTTTTGGTACACTCAGCCTTGATGTTTAGAACTTAAGATTAATCATAATTTAGGTTTATTCTTCTTTCTTAATTTATTCAAATATTTTTTTAAAAATAAAAATGTGACGAACTAAATTTACAATACGATACATAAGTGTTATTCTTTTTAAATGAAATATTAGCGTTTGTTGTAGGGTTAAAAACATAGTTTTACTTCACTTATATATCTTCACCTTGACTGAATGACTTATATTTCACGAATTTCGCATTATTTAAAAATTGAAATCAATGATAATTTATATATATATATATATATATATATATATATATATATATATATTTTTAACCAACCGATACATTTTTTAAAGATAAAATCATAATGAACTAAAATTTTAAATAAACAATATCTCAAATAAAAAAATTGACTCTAATAATATTATCATGTATACATTTTTTAAAGATAAAATCATAATGAACTAAAATTTCAAAATAAACAATACCTCAAATATAAAAATTGACTCTAATAATATTATCACACATCATACATAAAATTAAAATGTTTTTATTTCTAAACAAAACAAAATATAAAATTATGTATGTTTTTATAATAAATAGTATATATTTCATCTAGAATAATATTGTCTTAGTGTTAGTGGCAAATCAAGAAAAGCGATCGAAATCGAAGGAAAGAAATGTGACTCGATAAGATAAACAAAAATTCATTCGATGTATAATCAGAAATACATAGCATATAGCATCGAGAAGCACAATCGAGAATCGAATGAATAACAATCAAATGATCGTTGTCGAATAAAAACTAAGTCATGTAAGACCAGGGTTAAAAAGGAATCATAAGCAATTCGAAGTTCTCGAAAAATACGGAATCGAGAGTAAGGGAAGCCAATGTGGACATCAAGACTTTGGCCAAATCGTGAAAGGAAGTAAGTCGAATGCACGTATAAAGAGCAGTTTTGAAATCATGGGAAAAAGTCGGAGATCGTGAAGAACGTGGGAAACTATAGAAGATAAACGGTCATACGCACGTAGAACGTGGTAGCAGTCGTGTTAACTGCTCTTGGAAGGCTTGAAGGATACCCTATAAATAGAACAAAGGAGTAAGAAAAGAGGGGAAATTGGCAGAGAACAGAATCAGTAGTGAAAAGTCTACCGGAGAAACGACGAACACCATGAAGCTTCTGGCAATCTGGATTTCCTTGCTCACTGAGTACATTTACCGCTTTCTGTATTTTCCTTGGTAATTTACTTTGATGCAACTTAAATTCAGCAGTTTTATGTTTCTGTATTTTCGATTCCTTGTTCGTTTCAATTCAATGAAAGTTTAAGTTTCTGTATTTTCGATTTATTGTCATTTACATTTCCTGCACATTTCGATTTCTTGCCATTTATATTTGCACTATTTTTCGATTCCTCGTCATTTACAATTAATGCAATTTTGGGGTTTTTGCACTTTACATTTTCTTGCAATTTAATGTTCTGTTTCTCGATTCGATACTTTACTGTTTTCAGTACTTTAAATACAAAATACCAAAAACAGTTTTCTTGATATCTTATGATTTTCGATCCTCATACACATTTTCGATTGAAAGTCAGACTGCTAGCCTAAGTAAAAAGAACTTACGTGGGAGGATTTCGATTAAAGATCAAAATACCCTTAGAATCGAAATCGATCGAAATTCCACCAGAAACACTTAGTTTTATAATAATAGTTAAAATCAATTATAAGATATTGAGAGGAAGGGTTGGATCTCTAAGCCATGTAGCATCGTGAATCAATATTCAATAATGTAAGACTCCTTTAAAAAAAATTACTCTTTGTCATCTTTGTGAAGGTTGGTTGGACGTGAAACCTCTGTAGGTACGGGTTTGGATATGGGAACTAACTAATCGGTTTATAATAGTTCGATTAAGGTTAAAAAATTATAAAATAATTGATTATAAAAAAATTGTTTAGTTAATTTATGAATGAATTTTATTTAATTTTTAATAATTTAATTTATGATATGTTTTAATTATTTTATAAATTTATTTACCCAATTCATTTAATTCGCAGTGGATCAATTAAAATTGTAAATTTTCTTATTTAAAAAAAATGAATTGAGCTGATTATTTTTAGTTGAATAATGAAGAGTGTGTGTGTGTGTGAGTGTGATATTTTTTCAGACTTATAACTAATGACAAATTATGTAATGTCACCAATCAAAGACTGAGACCGGCACTTTTCCTCAAATTGCTCAAACATTGCTGTGCTGTCCTTTTCCTTCTTATTTCAATCTTGTGACTCACTTGTTCTTTACCTGAATAAATAGTTGGGCCTGTTATGTGTTTTATTTTTTATTTTTTTATATATATTTTATATTAATAATTATAATAACATACAGATTAGATATTTATTTATTTATTTTGCTTTTCAATAATATCTTCCACCTCAGATGGAGACAAAAATTTCAGGATATATTTAAACAATCCAAGTTCCTCCCAAATGTACT